AGACGGAATATCTAGGATCTACGGATTGGGATGTGATTGTCAGGTCGTCGGCGTATAAGTATATGTTGGTGTTGGGGGGATGTGGGATGTCGGAGTTGTAAATGGTGTATAGGTGTGGGGACAGGACGGTGCCCTGGGGGACACCGGCCTCCATGGGACGGGTGGTGGAAAGGGAATCTTGGATTTGGATGCGGAATTTACGGTGGTGTAGGTAGGATTTTATGAGTTTGGTAAAGGATATGGGATATTGGTTGGTGAGCATTTTCATCAGTAGGCCTTCATGCCAAACCGTATCGATAGGCATCAAGAGTAAGATATACTGCTTAGTTGTAGTTCAGTGGTCATTGCGCATAAGATCAATATTATCTAGGCATAAGCTTCGAGCATATACTTGTAGAGGCTGCCTTCAATGCTGAGAAAGCGCGACTGGTGGGCGAGAGAGAAAGGAGAATAAAAGGACATGCTATCTTCACGCACCGACCCATCAGCTCGCGGAGCGAGAGAGATAGCAAGTCCTTTTATTCTCCTTTCTCTCTCGCACACCAGTCGCGCTTTCTCAGCACCGAATCACAGAAGATAATTGTTTTATCTTCTTTGGTTTGGTTGTCTGGTTTATGATTCAGTTTTTCAGAACATTCTGAAATAAAAGTGAGAAGAAACCGCTTGCTAAAGTTTACATTTCGATTAACTGGTATATGTCTTTGACGTTTTGATTTTCACAGTTCTTGGATCAAATCGATCAAATGAACTTAATACTTCATTTTAATAATGGTATCACTGGTGTGTGTAACTCTTGGTTCAATTTGTTCTGAATCTGGCAACCTGGCATAAGCGCCACGCGCCATTATTCTATGGCTAGAAATTGGCCTCAAATCGAGGGGGATTATCCCTCTTTATCCTGCCTCATCTCGTGTAGGCCTGGACAACCTTCGTAGGTGGGCCCCATCCATCGTCTACCCCGACCGCAAATGCGGCCGGTGTAGGCGCTTTGTGGGACCTCCTTTTGTCCTGGCTGGGCCCCGCCGGCTAGGGCCCTTTCTTCTGGCGCTCTTCTTGCTTCGCCGGCTCGTCTGTGTAAACCCCGGGGGTAGACCTGGCATAAGCTTATCTATTTCAAGTTTAGCTACGAATGAGCTGACTGACAATGAGGCAGTTTACCGATCTCTGAAGCATAAGATCTTTGAATTAGACGCCTGTGAATCACCGTAGATACAGCGAGAAAAAAACCAATTCCAGTTTTTTTCATGTGCTATTGCGCGTAATAACAGCAACGCCATTTCCTGATATTTATTTAAATCTGAAAAAATACGGTATGTTCAATAATTTTTACGCATATTCTTTGTTTAGATTGGTGTTAAAATATTTTTTTATTCTAACAGCCTTGCACCTGTAAAAATTAGTAACTTATTTTAAGCCAGACAATTTTCAATCGTTGCAGTAATAGACCATCAGAAACATTGTTTACATTGTAATAAAACAAGTCAAATGTAAAATCTAATACAACAATGCTGATGTTACATTTATTTTATCTGCAATAACCATTTGTAATCTGTAAATACCATTCTAAAAATAATGTATGGGTGGGTTTCTTTGCCTTAGCATTATAATTTCAACAATTTAATAACAAAAAAGTGTAAGCCTATTATTTCTTTGTACGAACAAATGATAAGAATATTTGTGACAATCGTAATTTTAATAATAAAATATTCCTATTTTATTGATAGAAAAACAATAGTTTTTGATAGTTTTAATAGTAGTTGATAGTTTATAGGAAATATGGCTCACATGAAGGCTATCGTTTACTCTAAAACAGGTGGTGACGGAATGGGCAAAGGAAAGGAATGTTTGAAAAATGGGGGTTTAGAGATGATACAAAAAATATTGACGGAGCTGAAGATGGACGGTAACAACAAAATATTCCTAGGAATTCTGGAAAAATTGTTTAAAACTGATAAATGTTCTAAATATATAAAGTTAGTTTATTTTAGTCATTAATATGTGAATATTTAAATATATCCTTCTAAAACGCATTAGTAATAATTGTTATATTACTTATATAACAATTTGTTTTAACAAATTACTTTTTAATTTTTTTTTACGGAGATATGTCTAAAATTACGTTGAATTATTTTTTTAGTTTCCAAAGGCTGGACATAATTATTATGTTCTTGACGATGGTGGAAAACTACTCCGTTGACAATTATCTCGATGTATTTCATTGTTTTGATAGTAAGTGTTTAATTATAAAATTTAAGTACTGCTGTTTGCTTCAAAAGAATTTTAATAACTTTTATATTTTAGAGTACTTCATATCTAGTGAATTGAGAAAATTGACAGTCAAAGCTGCAGAAATAAGAGAGTTCTCAATTTTAGGTAAGAGAGTGTATACATAACCATTTTATTAAAATGTAAGTCCAAATTTGAACTGATTTTCTGGTTGCCGTTGATTTGTTTGAGGATTCGCTTTATAAAATAATTTTAATAAATACGTTGTGTCAAAATATTATCCTACAGTATTTTGCCAGCTCATTCTAGGATTAAAGATAAAAAGTGTTTCTACAGGGTCATATTAATAAGCGGTATATCTTTCACCTTAGAAATGCATTTCGTGTCTGTTTTTTCATAGGACATACTCTGTTGGGTGCTACAGGATGCATTGTTGCCAAATCTCATTAAACATCATTAAACACTAACTTAAGGTTATATATACTTATACTACGCAGGACACTTTACTAATTTAAATTTTATTATAAAACTAAGGTTGTTAAAATACAACACTGAAGTAGGTATATAAAATTCTGTTTCGATTATAATAAAAACTAAAATTTAATGGAGAACCAAAAGCTAAAATAAATGTAATAAAACAAATCAGTGACATAGCGCTGTCCATTTTTTTTTGTCTGCTTGGCGCCCTGTTGTCATATCGCATCAGGCAGATTGATATTATGTAGTTCACCTAACCTAGGATGTCAGACGTCATTGACAGTAATATTCACAAACTAAACGCAGCGTTTAAAAAAAAATTAGTAACACATTTTGTCAATCCGTTTTTTAAAAATGCTAGTAAGTTTATTAGACCGGGAGAAATTTTTCAATAAAAGGGATTCCGATGCAATGAATGAAATGTCCAAAGATTGTTTTAGTTCTACTTATTTGCACTTTAATATTTCAAAAATTGAAAGTACAGGACAAAGTTATACTCAGTTGAAACTATTATTAAGTTGTACTGTTCTTATTTCTAGAATCATTGATTGCTATGTGTCACTGTTTTCTAGGACACCTTGTATAAGCAGTGATAATAATTTATTACTTTGTTTGACAAGAAGTTATAAACGGTCTTATCATAATAAGTATTTTGCATGAAAATTTAATATCTTGTTAACGGTGTTAAAAAATTTGGCTGTCTCTAGATTGTTGTTATCTACCTACTATGTTCATGCTGCTGCTTCAAGGCTCCCAGTATGCAAGCTTTTCTTGATTCTTAATAAAAAAAAATTAAACTAATAAGTTAGGTTCGGTTTTGCTGTAGGTAAAACGTACAAAAACGACCTAAATCGTAAAAATGATTCCGTCTACATCATATTATAAGGAATGCGTTTGCTCGAAGCAAAACAGATTGCTGTCTCTAAACTGGTATCCTGTTATTCATCTAATCGAATCTCGATCGCACTGAATGACGTCACAAATTAGCGCGGCGACAAAGATCGTTTAAATCATTTATTTTGTACGCCAAACTTTACTAATTCATTATTAGTAAACAACATCTAGGAGATTTATAATAATTTCGGTACATATAATGCTGTTTCTCGATATTTAAAAATGAAAAAACCCAATTACCACTGTTAACCGTTGACCAAACAGTGTCTTCTTTGTTCACATATATTTTTGGGATACCCTCTATACTTAGATCCCCTTAGATAATTCTCGTCGATTTTTGATTGTTAGGCATGGGTGATTTTGGGATAGTGTCGTTTGGTAAGCTAGGTGATTCGTTAGTCGCAGTGAAAAGAGCGAAACATGGCTGTGTCGGTACCAAACTACTACAAGAAGCCAAAATCATGGCTGGCTTGGACCATGAAAATGTGGTCAAACTAGTGGCTTTTCAGAGGGATCCTACGAAAATCGTAATGGAATACGTACAGGGAGTGACTCTTAACACTGCGGTATATGTAAGATTACGTTTAGTTTTAAAATTAATTTTCTTTAATACTCTTAATTTTTTTTTAAATCTACGGTCGATACTTTTAAAATATTTCCTGGTATTCTACTTCAGTCCCATCTGATCGTGGGTTTGGATATCTTGAAAGCCCTACATGGCGTTGCTGCGGGTATGGAGTACATAGCGGGGAAAAATATCATCCACAGAGATCTGCACGGCAATAACATTTTGATAGATTCGAATAAAGTGTGCAAAATAGGCGACCTTGGTCTGGCGAGATACGTGGGATATAACCCGAAATTAGAATTCAAAGAGAAGGTATTTATACGGTTTCCCTAAAGACAATGTCATTTTTATTTAATTCTTACTTTGCTCAAGCTAATATTTAACTTTATCTTTAAATAATATTTATTTGTCTTTAATAATATTTAATAAATATATGTACATATGCATATGTAAATTTTGCAAAAAAATTGTGTAAGTGTTAAAAAGAATTGACAGCTCCTGGAAGAATTCCAAATTTGACTTCAAAAAGTTCGCTATAAGTTCATCTAATTTTTACACAGTTCAAATAGTTTTTATTTTAAACAAAAACGTGATCTTGCAGAATCCTCTGCAGATTCTCTTTCACAATCCACCAGAGACCCTCAAAAGCCACATCTTCACGACAAAAAGTGACGTCTGGTCATTTGGTGTATTGGTCTTGGATTTGTACAAGTTTGAGGAAACCCTTTCTGGAACAGTAAAAGTCAAATGGATTTGGGAGTCGCTGATCAATTTTGAGAGGAAAGGAAGGAAAGGAACGTAAGGAGTACACATTTTTTAACTTCTGTTTTTACACTGATGTTGTTGTAGATTTGGGTTACCTCGCCCAGAATCGTGTCCATTGATTCTGTTCCATTACGTAGCGGAAGAAGTTTTAGATATAGAGCCTTGCCGGAGACCAGCGTTTAGTTCTATCAGAAAAAGAATTGGTGATATGTTACCTGTTAAATTGAAATAATAAATACATATTCATATTTATAAGTATTATTTTTATATATGTAACCTCTAAAATAAAGTTTTCCTCTGGAACTTTGTGAATTCTAACCAGGAATATACACTAGGCACAGAAATTAAGGGATATTAAAAAAATCACAAAATTTTGGGTGATTTTCAAAGAGCTGTAACTTGGAGGGAAATGGTTATAATAAAATAAAAGGAAATTGAAGCTTCAGGTGTCTAGTTTTCGGATCTAGAGTTTAAAATTTTTTAGCGTCGGCAGTTTTTGAGTAATCAACAAAAAAAAATTGTAAATTTTTGCTTTTCTTTAAAAAAGCCTATGGACTTCAAAATTGTTTTTTTGGTAATTTCACCATAAAGAAGAGCTATCTAAAAGAATCAGATAATTTAATTCTCTTCAATTTGAGCGGTTCCGGAGCCTTGTACGATGATTTGTCACTGAGTTATCGCCGATCAAAGCAAAAAAATCATTTTTGACTTTGGTAATCAATTACTCGGGAAATAATGGTCGTATAGAAAATCCAAGCAGGGTTTTGAAAACTGCAAAATGTTCTCTACAAGTCGTGATTATTGTTTTTTGATAAAAAAAAATTTTTTCGTTGGTAGGGAAAAGGTCAAAAATTGCATAATTAGGGATATTTGAATAACTTGGCATAACTGCAAAATATAACGAATACACTAAGGATATTGATTAACTATTCAACCTCAAAGTATTCTAAAAGAAACCCTGATAATTTCAAAACGCGATTTTTTTTCTTAGTGCCCGGAATGTTTAAATTTGTGGTTTTTGCTGAAATTCATTGTTATAAGTAATTTTTCACTTTATTCATTTTTTTTTAAGTTAAAGGGTTTTTTATCAATAGTCCATATTTGCTTCATCAAAAAATGTTCATTCTAAAAAAAATGAAAAAAAAACTATTTTCAAAATTTTTTTTGACGTATACACACGTATACACGTATATCGTTGCGTAACTCCTTGCCAATTGCGGATAGGCTCGTCGTCATTGACGCCCGAGCATGTCCTAAACATGCCCAATGAGGTTCATGTCGGGACTCGTTGGTAACTTCATCTTTACTTAATTTTTCATTTTTAAATAAGAATTTATAATTTACTTTTATTTAAATTTTCATGTTTATAACACAAAATCAAAGATATCAGGAAATTAATTATTTATAGTTAAGGTTATGGTTAAAATATGAATAAAGAACTAATTTACGAGTAGTAGTTGCAATGTATAAAAAACCATAAGTTGACCTATCTCGTTTTAGGGTCGTATGACACTATACTAAAATTATAACTAATTTCAGTAATTAATTAAGAACTTTTTAATCTTGCATAGTATCATACACAAATTGCAACAAAAATTGTTGCAGTTTCTGTATGATACTATGCAAGATTAAAAAGTTCTTAGTTAAGTACTGAAATTAGTTATAATTTTAGCATAGTGTCATACGACCCTTATACGGTCTTTGAAGATTAACATTAATATTAGCGTAGTTAGGGATGTTCTGTGTATTAGGGTTATCTCTGATATTAGCGATTTACTATTTATTATTTAGCATGTGTGTGTTATAATAACAGCATATACATTTTTAATATTTGCAAAAGCATCATATGCGGTATGTTCAATAATTTTTACAGATCTTAATTTTGTTTAGATTACTGTTTGGCCTAAATAATTTTGCACTTGTGGGAAATTTTGGCTTACTATAAGATAGGAATATTTATTTTTTTTTATCTTTGTGGCTAGATCACCAAAATCATTCTCAATTCTCTGATAAAACGATGAAATAACAGAACTTTATGTAATATTACGTACAAACAAGGGTCATAATAATGCTGATGTTGCATTGTTTTATCCACAAACACCAAATAATCTGAAAATAATACCTAAGTATCACTATTTTTCCTTGCCTTAGCATTATCGTTTTTACAGATTAAATGTTATTTCGCCATAAATTAACAACAAAAAAGGTCCGATAACATAAAACTCAACGCTTACTGAGATGTACTCTGTTGAATATGGTAAAACAAAACATTTTTTTCAGACTCCCAATTTGATATGTCTTTATTTATTTTAATATAATTACTTTTTGAATAAGTAAGAAAATAATGTACAGGGTGTTATATGTTATATGTTTACCACCCAATAACCTTTTTATGTCGTTCTGAAGTGCGAATAAATACATAAAAAACAGCATTGTACGTATTAGGTGGTACCTATAGTAAATTGGATAGCCATAGGCATGTGAACAATAATATACAGAGTGTTATATTTTACCATCTATGTGGTTTTGGAGAATTTCTGTCTTTTTTTTATTCTAACCTTCCTGGGACAACCTGCGGTTATAAATATTAATATTGCGATATATCATTGTAATTTTAATAAAAAAAGATTCCTATTGTGTTGAAGAAAAACACCTTAACGGAGTCATTTTACAGTTTTAGGTGATATGGCCCATATGGAAGACAAAGTTTCTTTAAAAACAGATAGCGATGGCAACATAAAAATGGGCAAAGTGAAGGAACTTTTGAAAAATGAGTGTTTAGAGACGATACAAAAAGTATTGACAGAACTGAAGATAGATGAGAGTAACAAAATATTCCTTGGAATTCTGGAAAAATTGTTTAAAATTGATAAACGCTCCGAAGATTTAAAGTTAGTTTAGTTTACTTACTTTGCAGACTTACTACACGAATACTGCGATATATACCACTAAAGCAGATCAAAAATTGTTATATTGACTCTGTTCCTAACAACGTTAGACGAATTATACTGTATACTTAGTCAATAATCATCAAATAAGATATGAAAACGAATCAGTAAAATGTTTTAATTATTTTCAATTCAGTTTCAGACTTGTCTGTGCAGAACAAGCGAGATTGTCAACATGATAAGCAATAATATAACAATTGAATTCTTGCTTACTTGATCCAAATAAAATTTCATGTCGTTTTATTGATATTTTGGTTTGTCAGTCATTTTTTGATATTGTAAAAACTACCTACTTTCATCTATTTATTTTTTAGTTTCCAAAGGTTGGACATAATTATTATGTTCTTGCAGATGTTGGAAAATAGCTCTTTTGACAATTATGTTGATGAGTTTCACGATTTTGATAGTGAGTATTCAGTTACAAAAAACTTATTTTTAAATAATTTGAACATTTCACATCAAAGAAATTTTTCGCCTACGAAGAATATCTTAGTTAAACTTTTGATTCTGTTTGAAGTTTGTTACATATTTCTTACACTAACTTTTACATTTTAGAGCACCTCCTGTCAAGGGAGTTGAGAAAAGTTACTGTCGAAGCTGCAGAAATAAAAGAGTATTTTGTTCTAGGTAAGAGAAAGTATCATAACGAATAAAATTAGCGCTAATTTTGCACACCCTGAATACGTATGGGTATATTTTCTGTGGTGTCTTCATTTTTAGGCGAGGGAGACTTTGGGATGGTGCTGTTGGGTCAAATAGGCAATTCGCTTGTTGCAGTGAAAGAAGCGAAAAACACAAATGCCAGTGAGGCACTGCTACACGAAGCCAAAATCATGGCGGGACTGGACCATAAAAATGTTGTTAAGTTAGTGGGATTTCAGAAGAGTCCCATGAGAATCGTAATGGAACATGTGCAGGGAGGCAATCTCAAGGCGGCCATTGAAGTAAGACTCCCGTTTACACAATTATTCATAGACACGAAATTGGTCTTTCTGCTAATAAATATCAAATGGTGTAATTGTCATTTTTAAAAATTATAAAAATGAGACACTTGAATATGTTCAGTCAACAACCTGTCGAGCTAAAGTCTGTCATAGTCTTCTCATCCACATGTAGACAACACCTCACTTACGAACAATTCGGGGCCTCGTCATTTTATACAAAAATTACTTAAGTCCTTTATGAAGTCATGTCCATGCAGTTGTCTCAGCATGACAACCCTCTTTGCTTTTTTTTTTTAAAACTACATTGATATAATTTTTTATTTCCTGTCTTATTCTAGAACCATTTTATCAGTAGTGCAGACATCTTAAAAGCATTACACGATGTTTCTACCGGTATGGAGTATCTCTCGGGCAAAAATATCATCCACAACGATCTAGATGGTAACAACATTTTCGTAGATTCTAAAAAAGTGTGTAAAATTGGAGACTTTGGCTATGCAAAGTACGTGGGGTACAGCCCGAAATTGGAGTTCAAGGTAATTTGATATGAATGTACACACATTCAATATTCCTAGCTCTTTTTTTTTGTTAGAACAAGACTTTAATGTTATTTTCACAAATTGACAAAACATTTTTCAGGGACCTCTGCAGGTTCTCTTCCTCACGCCACCCGACACCATGGTAACCCAGATATTCACGACAAAAAGTGATGTCTGGTCATTCGGCATACTAGCCTTGGACTTGTATGAGGTTGCAGAAAATTTATGTTTGGATGCGGTTCGGAAAAAGTTCCTGAATTCAATAAAAGACTTTTTTGCGAAAGGAATGTAAGTGGAACTAATTTTTTTTATCTTATTAGTTATTATAATTGTCTAATTATAGGCCTGGTTATCCACCCCCAAAACCGTGTCCGGTGAGCCTGTTCAAGTACGTAACGGAAGAAGTTTTAAATTTAGACCCTTGCCAGAGACCAACGTTTAGTTCCGTCAAGGAAAAAATTGGTGGAATGTTGTCCATTAAATCAAAATAATTATATCTAGAAACATTTTTATATAATGTAAAATAAATGTTTTTTTATATACCCAGCACCTATTCTTTCGCACGAACACTGAATCTTCTACATTGAGAGTTAAATAGCGATTAGGACAAGTTTTGGAGTGTTAAAGTATTCGTTTCTATTCAAATCTCACAGGAAATGTGGCAAATTTTTATTTCAAGATGACGGCACAAAGGGTGGGAAGCTCACTTCAATCAAATTATTGGTGTTTTACCTTATGAGGGCTCTATACCAAATAGGCAACCAGCAAAACATTTAAAGAACATAATCGGAATTAAAATATTTATACTTCGATGAAATCATTTACTACATTATTTAAGGACATCTAAAATCTGAAATGGTAAAAAAATCCTACGGGAAAACGATAAACAGAAGTTTCAAACAGAACAAAACCATTATCGCAAATTAAATGCTCGGTAAATGATACTTAGACCATTGAATAATAACTTGGAATACCACAGACATCAATGTAACAGAAATGTTGATGAAAGCTCATACTGTATTACCCACAATTTGCAACCAGCGCCTTTCTAGCGGTACGACGAATTCTTCCTTATAGTTCCGGTTTTACAAACTCAACATCCTTCTGAAAAGAATCAAATAGGTATATTACAACATTGCAAATTCCAAAAAAATTTTATAATACCTACCTACATAAACTGATTATATTTCGATTATTTCTTCATAGGATTTTTAGTGTTGATATTTGAAAAACCATGTTTTATAAAATATTTCCTATTTTGATGAAATTATATTTAACGATTTGTCTGATTAAAATTAAACATTTACTATATTTGATTATAAAGTCACTACTTGTAACTCATTGTGGTGATTCTAAGAAAAAAAATCCTATTTTATTCTAAAACCGGTCCTTTTTCATTTATTTTTGCTTTTTTAACTTATATTAACTCAGCTACCAAACATCGGACATTTTCGCCGGAGTTTTCCCCGGATTTGTTCCCGGACATTTTCCCCGGACTTTTACCTCGGAATTTTTCCCAGGACTTTTTAATAACATTATGCTTGTAAGCAAATGGACTGTGAATTTAGTGATTCTACAACTACTACAAAAGATCCAGTCAAAAAAAATTGTTATGCGTATGAAGCACTCACATTACTAACTACTACGAGACAAAGTCGACTTACCCTGACCAGAGATGCATTCAGGAGAAAGGAACGTCCAAAGGGAAACACCCGCGCGATCGAGAGCTCTCGTCTTACTAGGATTGTTTGGAAAACTACATATTCTTCTGCCGGTCAGTGGCGTACTTCCCGCGGTAAATATTTGTTAAATTACTACTAGAGCTAAATTAAGTTAACCAAAATAATAAAAGAAACAATTATATTCTACAGCCCATCACCCACAAATAAATAAATACAAAAGATTGAACAATGCTACTTTTTATTACAGTATTTGTTTTATAATCAAAGCTCGATTTCCAAAGCTTCAGCGTGTTTAGTTCCCGATAATTAATAAATTAATTAAAATGAAACACGTGTTTTTTATGATTTTTTATACGGTCTCAAAATAACCGTTTGTATTGAGTTTTTTTTCAAAAATAGGGAGCAACTTTCTAAGTAATGCTAATTTTAGAAACTAATTGGAATAGCAATATTATAATCAATATAGGGTCAAATATAAAAAATATTAATTTCACAAAATCTAATTCATATGAATGTTCTAAAAAAAAATGGTCTCGCAGTCAGCTACTTACTGATATGCCGATATGATACACGATAATATCAGATCTTTTTTTCTGGGGTGGGCCATGCACACCCCTGCTGCCCCCTAGCTACGCCCATGAAAAATATCATTAAATCTTTAACCAAGTCAGGTTATTGAAAGCTAAACCCGTCAAATTTGTATTTATTTGATATTTTTTTCATCTGCCTACTGAAAATCATGATTACACCAGGAAAATTAGCGAAAATAAAAGAAACTCGAAAAAAGTCTTATCCGCGAGATTATTGTAAAATTGTCTAAAGGAACATAATACAAGACATCTCTCAAGTCGTGAGTCAAAAAATTGTATTAGCTAACTTTTCTATTTAAACAAGTGAGGAAAACAGTTTTTTCACTTTGCAGGGAAAAACATCAATTTTAGCGAAAATTGACTCTCAGACAGCTTGTAGGGAATAAAATTATCTACAAAATGAGACTTGTTAAATTAAAATCGGTTAATAAACAAAAAATTTATTGCAAAAAACAAGAAAAGTGACCATTTTTGATTTGTTTATAACTATCGCATTTATTGTTGAAATTTTATAAAACTTATGACAAGTTTTGTCATACTTTAAAAGTGTGCGAAAAGTGGGCGCTGTAGGTGCAATAGTTTTCGCACAATTCAATTTGTTTATAACGCAGGCTCCAAAAGTTATGAACTTTAAGCCTCTGTACAGGCGTTAATTTTCAACCAAACATGATTATGAAAGCGTCATTATAATCTTAAAGACGTAATTAAGCGACCTATTAAAAAATATCACCGGTTTTTTTGACATTAACATTCTCAAATTGTGCATTAAAAATCCGTACGTTTTTCGCTTATAAACAATTTGAATAAAATTGTTGCTATTTATGCTACCTCACCGAAAATAGATGCAATGGATAGCTGGCAAAAAAATACAAATTTTAAAAAACAAATTACCCTCTACGACCAACAGAAGCCAAGATAAGATTTTTTTTTAAATCGTAGCGCAATTGTTTATTTATAAATATTAAAACTTGAAATTTCGCAAAATAATGTTTACGACGTAAACTACGATTTCCCGTAAATTGCATTGAAAAATGTGGAAAATTAACGACTCACGAACCCTTTATAGAGAAGGTACTTGATAAGAAAACTGTCCGGCGTGGTGATGGGGGGAAGCTCGTCCAAGAGAGTCGAAGTTCAAATTGATGCGCGCTGTAAATTTTGCAATATCTCGGCTTCTATTCATCGTAGAAATTTCTTTTTTTTTAAGACTGGGGTAGCTCGACGAAAAAATAACAATGGGCATATTTACGAATTCGTAGAATAGCCCTGAACCCCAGAAAAA